CTGGGAGCGGCTTTCGGGCTCTTTTTTGCGAGGGGGGTGGGGGAGGCGGGTTTGGTTTTGCCTGCCTTCGATTGAAGGTATGAATGAATTAAATTTCCGTGTCAGGTATGAGAAGGGTAGGAGAATATTGTGTGTAGATAAACCTTGCCACCCCCTGCCCCTGAGAGACCCCCATATACAATGTAGAGATGATGAATAGGCTCTGGGAGAGGAGATCGAAGTTCAGTCCGCACCGGCTCCACTCTCTCCTACAAAACTATAGGGCAATTAATTGTGGCTTGTGCCCTCATCCTTCATCTCCTGGTGGCACATATCGATGGAGATTACTGCTGATGGACCATTTTATCACCCTAAATAAACAGTCACCACCTTCTCTAACCTCAATCTAATATATGGCTATCTGCTATGTTTAAGGGTGCCGGGTAACTAATGATGTAAAATAGCTAAATCATACAGGTTAGCAGCAGCCTAGAAAAAAAAAAAAAAAATCCAAATATTCCCCGCACCGATCCACTTCACAGCACGTTATATATACACTGTCTCCCCGTAAATTGAATGGGAAGAGGCGTGCAAACTGCTTGCTTGCGTGACACTTCAGTTTTACACAGCGTATTTATTACAGTGGCAGGTTGGCGCGTTCTGGTGAAGGTAGAGGAGTCGCAGACTTCTCGTTGCGAAAGCCTCTCCCCAGAAGCGAGGAGCAAGCCCAGACGGGAGAGAGCCGGCCTCGCACCCCCCAAATTCACCCTAGGAGATCTCCTCCTCGCCGCCCCGCCCCCAGCGCGCAGGAATACCCCCGTCAGTCCAGATTCAGAGCTGGGAAGAAAACGGTCCCCAGCCGCCTGCCACATTATCGGGGTTTTAACATAATCCCTTTTACTTCCCCGGGAGTAAAGACTGCAGGGCCCTAATTAGGGTTTTGTTTCTTGGTTGCTGTTATTTTTTTTCCCCCTAACTAAACCCTTTTCAATTAAAAACAATTACGTACAGACACTTAACCCACAGCTCCTTGGCGGCCCTCGCCCCCCCTCCCTCGCCCAGGACCGTGCCATATTCACTGATATTTGACGGCCAAGGCGCGTGTCTATGGGGAAACCGCCGCCCATCCGTCTTCCCACGGCGGCCGCCCGGCGCCGGGCCGGGCCGG